TCCTCTGTGTTTTACTTGGTTAGTGAAGCAGGAAAGCTTTGAGAAAAGGAGGAGAAAGAGGAGAAGCATTCTTTCTCTCTCTCTTGCTGTCTCTCAGTATGTACCAGGGGTGAGTTGTGGCTTATTTTTTAATGACTGGTTTTAAAAAAAAGTTTGGGGGTAGGGCTGGGTCTCTTCCCCCGCCAGCCACTCGCACACAGGCTTACTCAGTCACACACATTACTGTAGCTGTGTCTGGGACTTTCACAGAGAAGTCTTTAATTTGCACTGGGGCCTGGCCTCCCACACTGCACAGCCCAAGCCACCCACTTACAGCCATGCACCATTCCTCAGTTACTCCAACGTACTCCCTGCCCTCCAGAATAGTGAAAGCAGCAAGATGTCTCGAACACACAATTTAGTTGTCAAGTGAAAGTCTAAAACTTCCAATATTTCGCCAAGAAAACAGTGAAAAACAACATGTTTTCCAATGTTCAAAGAGCTTTGATTCTATTGGAGGAGGGTTAGGTCTATATTATTCTGCCTTTTATGTTTTTCATTCCCTGGGGCTTGAAGTTTGCAAGCCCTGCCCTGCCAAGCTTTAGCATGCAGGAGCCATGAGGATCATCCACAGTCAACACTGAGGAAATCCTTTCAGGGCTTTGCTTTTCCTTTGCTCTTTCTGGTGCCAAAACACAGGCAGGAAGCCCAGGAATGGGAGGAGTAGGACAGTCCCTACCTGACAGAACAACCCCTGTCCACCTGATGTGAGGCACCAAACACCCCATTTACTTTCTATACTTGGGAGAGTAATCCCAAAGGTAGACTATAGATCTCTTGGTCTGAACAGGAAGCTGCTGTATGTGTTCTATCTGCAGAGTTGAGACAGCAGGGGTGCACTGCCGCAGTCATTCTTTTGCTGTTTACAGAGACTCTGTCAGCTCCTCCCTGCGCCTTTCTCTTTTTATCCTCTCTCTTAACTTTTTTCAAACCAAGAGCGGGAGGACAAGAATGAATGACACTCTTTTGCTTGTGCTTCCTGTGTCAGAAGATATCCAAACGCCACTCTTCCTCCCTCAATGGCTATAACCAAAGCATTCCAGGCTCTAACAAGCTGGGACCAATTAAGCCGTAAGTAAACATAAACACCCAGCAGGCACTAAAAGAAAAGCTTAAGCCCTGCAAATGTATCCTTTTGACTCTAGTTCTCCTTCAGAGCGTGTGCAGACACGGAATCACTGATGATTCAGGTTGTGGAAAGACACAATAAAAAAATATGACAGATGGCAAAACTATTTCTGAACCAATATTAAGCAAGTGCCTACAGGTGAAACTCGCTGGGATAGCTTCGTTGGGATCACACTGAATCAGAGTGTTATCTTCTGCTTTGTTTGTGCCCTGTTTGCCTTACAAAATGTAGAACATATTAAACACCCTCTCAAAGCAAGATCCTTTCAAACTGGTGCAGCTACGGTGACATCTAGTGAAACAATTCTGCAAGGTAACACTTTGCCCTTTTGTCTTGTTTGGGATCAAAAGTGGTTGATTTGTTTAAAAATGGATATTATTTTTGGCATCAGACAGATATGCATTCTACAAATAAAACTGTAACCCCTCAAACCTGGATAAAATCCTCAGATGCCTTATGAAGTGAAATCTGTTCTTCTGGATCTATTCATGTGGTGACTTACTTGAACTTGCACTAAAATGTATAAAACAGATTATGAGTGTCCCCCCTCCCCCCTTTCTCTTGTCAATGAAAGAGCGACACTGCAAGTTCCCACTGGCTTGCATTCTCAGACAGTCATGACAGGACGAAGTAATTACTGAGTGGCTGACACACCAGCATGGATAGGATTTATCTCCTCCAGGAAGGGAGATAGCCAAATCACAGTTTACCCACATCCAGCTCCCAGTTCAGGCTTGATCCCGCAGCTGCAAATGGATAAACCACACACAAACACTTTGACACCAATCCATGTGCACACACACCCTCATGCTTAAAAGCCAGTACAGCTGCCAACCACAACTGAGAACGGTGTCTTTTTCTACATTTTATTTCAGATGCGTTCTATGCATGTGCAAGTATGTCACCACATGCCTTAGCCCAGCCCTTGTTTCCTGTCAAACTCAGTGACTTGCACCATCAAAGTGTGGAATGACAGCTTTATGCAGGTGTGTGTAAGAGCAAGCAGCAGAGGGAGTTGAACAGAACGATGACACCAGAGAGGTGTTTAATTTACATCCCTCTTTGAATAATAATTCCACCTTAGAGGTTGAAAGCTTTGATCCCCCGACACACAGGTGTAGATCACATGCAGAGACATATGCAGCTAAGACAGAGCTTTATCTATCCCTGTAATTAACGCTAGAGCAGGAAATACAGAATATCATAAGTATGTATGGTATAACATGGGAACGGGCACAGCAGGAGGCACTATTGGACATTAAATCTACATTCCTGCACAACACTATTTTATCTGTATGTCTCTGAGGCATATATATACATAAAGTAAAACATGAATGTCAGTTGTGACTCTGGGCTATAGTATCTAACCATGTTTAATGCTCATTTCCTTTCTCTGCCTCTCAGTCTGTCAAACACAAAAAGATATATATATATATATATATATACACATATATATATATACATACATATACACAGAGGCAGAGGAAGAGAAGGAACTATAAAAGTTAGTCAGTTTACTATCAGCTAAGAATATAGCTCCCTCTAGTGGGATAAAACATGGACTTATAATATAAGTGGTATAAACAAGACTTCTTTTTCCCCCCATGACTAAGGCAGAGGAACACCTTGTGAAGTTTGGCTGTCACAAATCTGTTTACAGTTTGGTTTCAAAATAAGTGTTATCAACAAAATGCTCTAATAAAAACTAGTGTTTATTCAGAGACATAGATGATAATTATATATCTGGTGTTATCTAAAGAGCTTTGTGGCCTTGATGATCAATGACCATATTTCTCCCTGACATTTAAAAAAAATCTTTGCTGTTCTGCATCTCTTCTGATTTTCACATGGATTACAAGAAATCCAGTATTTGTGGGACTCATAGTGTTGAGTAGGTAGGATAAAGGGAAATATCATTAAAAAAAAGATAAGTTATTAAAGAATATCTTAACGATCAAATTAATACAGAGACATAAGAAGTTAGCAGGTTTGGGAGATTGAAGGTTGAAAAGAGAACAAGAACAAAGGGCTGCGTAGTAGAAGTGAATTGTTACATTTTCAGTAGGTCCCACAGTGACGGTAATTCACTACGCTTCATTTCCCCAACTTCAAATTACATCCTCTCACCTCCAACAGCTCTCTACAGCCTGCACGCACATCAGAAGCAGGAAAATGATATTTTCCATTTTCTGTGTTTAACAGTTCACAATGTCTTTCCCACATATCCATTTATTTTAAGGACTAATAAGTTCAAATCCTAAAATGGACATTTGCTTCCTTACTGCATTATATATCAAAACCTTAACTCCAGTCTATAACGCACCCCTGAAAAAGAGTAACATTGAGTATAATGTCAATTAAATCTGTACAAAGGACCAAATAAACTGACTAAGGAAAGTAAAATATTTGCAACAAATTATGACGAAAATAACCGCAATCAATTCCTAAATTTGCTTCTTATTTTAGAGTTGATAATCAAATGTCACGGTGACTAAAACCTTTCAGTATAGATCTGTCAACAGCTGAGTCTTAGCACATATTCCGGATGCCCTCTGTCATTTACATGTAGTAACATAATCCTATGTGAATATAGCCTAGTTGGGTCAACAGGGCCACGTGCATACTGTACGCGTGTGTGCGGTTGACCACCATGTTGCGCTCAGGAGGGTTTCTGAGCTTCCTCTAAAAATAGAAATTAGTGAAATGGTAGGTGAGCATTCAAGCAGCATATCTGGCAAGTGTGGCCATGACTCACTCAAACACAGATGGTTGAACAGAAACATGGGGCCACAGACTGCTCATCTGTCAAGCAGTAGGGTGTTGGTGGCCCTACATGTATCGTCACAGGCTTTGGACGGGTAGATGACTCACTGCTTATCTCTTTCATGGGCATGTATGGCTGCGCATCTTCCGTTCTGCTCTGTGGGTGCTTACTTTGAAAGGGACAAAAACTTGAGATGAACCCCTGTGAACTTAATTTCTAAAGGCCCAGGAAGTGACCTAAATAACTAGAACATGCAAAGGCTTGTGTTGTGATGCCATGCGCTCCTTTATGTGGGACAGGCCACACCTGTCACCCATCTGTATCTGAGATGTACCAAAAATAAACCCAGAGCTGGAAGGTGATCAACATTTTCCAGCTTCCACTGGCTGAAGCTGAACACAAACCTCTAATCTGACAGGATTTGTGCGGCCAGTTGAGAGAAAAAAGTTACTACAGAGTGCCTGAAAGTTTACTAAATATGAGTAAATAACTGTCACAGTAAACCATCAACCCTCTAGTTAACCACAGAAGGAAGACTCTTTAAAAAAGCTGATTTTTACCATTTTTTAAATTATCACAAGATATGGGCTAAATATTTGAACAGCCAATACTAATCCTGATTAGATCCATTATTCGTGCTTTAGTTTGTCATATAGATTTTTAAAGAAACGACACAAGAGAAATCAGTGTATGTAAGACGTGAATAAGCAGAAAGCGTGGGATGGGCCCTTCAACCGTCATGTAAAAGCAGAAGCAGTAAACACATAGCTTCCGGTCAGTAATTTCACAATAATCGTTGTGTTTGAGCGGATATTTCGTTGTTTTGGCAGACCTGAGTAGGTGACCCTTGCTGGAGGCACCTCCGTCAGTTCTACGTGTTTACGTTTGCATATATTTTGCCATATTTACGCAGCCTGACCAACACATCCGGCCACTTACGCCAACGCGCAGTTTTGTTATGAAGGTTATCAGGCCTGACTTCCGGCCTCTGTTCTGTGGACGCAGCTCGCCCCTTGGTCATGTTGCCGCACTCACAAACAGATGAACACAACAGCAGCTTTTACTCACGCAGACGTATCCAGAAGTCGCACATGCTGAGCAGCGAACTGTACAAACACTGAAGTAAAGACATGAAACCGGCGAATGCGCCTCGCTACGCGCAGCTGAGCTCTCAGGAGTCCTCTCTCCGTCTTTTCTTCTTTCACTATGACGATATTGGATCTTATGTCAGGATGTTGACGCGCCTCCATACCCCCTCCACCCCGTAAAAAACACATTCAGGGTGGGACTGTCCTGTTAACAGTCTCCAAGCGTACCTTCTTGCTCCCTCCTGACCTCGGAAATGTCCGTGTTACTCAGTGGTAACACTCCTACTCCCAAAAAGAGGCTATTATGCGTTTTTCTGTGTTGCAGGCTGACATTTATAGCAAAACTATATGGCAGCCTGCATTTTTTTTACGTCTCACGCATATAATTTGAAGGTATTTCACTTTTACATTCTTCGCTTTCAACTTATTGATGTGTTTAATTATCTAAAATCTCAACAGAGGGAGACTCATTTGTTCAGTAGTACATCCCAATGACTGCCACCTTGTGGTTTAGCAAGAATGACGGCCAAATATTATTTCCTATCACACATTATAAAGCAAGAGTATGTCTTAAGAGCATTTCTCCCATTCCACAATATAGAATTACAATATTGGCCCGTGAGGCACCATCCCTAATTAACTGGAGAACAGTAAATGCCTGCAACATATTATTGAAACATATGCAAACATAAATAAATATACAATAAAAAAACATAAGAGTTGGAATAACGTTTTTAAAATGTCTTTACATTTTTAGGAATAGTTCTCTAGGCTTCTTGAAATACAAGCCAAAGTTTGGATGTTGGCAGCCTTATGTTTCTGTTCTCTGTCAAGATGATCCCACACTATCTCATTATAAAGGCCCGCATCACTTCATAAGGTCTGTGGAAACTGATTTTCAGTCCAATTTATGTGTAAATTGGAATGCCTCAGACTTTTCTCTGTTTCCATTCTTTCAGATCAACTCCTTGACAGCAACTCTTCTTGGAGACCATATATGTTAAGGCTTCAGTGAACACTCAGCAGATTTACTGATGGACAAGATTTTTTTTTTTAGGTCCTGAGATCCCGTGTCCACACAATATCTTTTCAAGCAGAAACTGGTTTTGTATTTACTTTTCGTTTATTTTGATATTAAGATTAGGACAGTAACAAGACAACCATGTGTCTTTATCCACAATTTAAGACGAAACATCTTTTTTCTGTTGATTAGGATTTTCTTTTACATTACTATTGAACCAATATTATGACCAATAAATGGAGAATGCCTGTCCTCATAGTATCCTGCATTAGACTGTCAAAACATATTGTCACAACAATTCTACACACAAAGTCTTTGTGTGATCCTCTGGCACTTACAGCACAGATTACATGTCAATACTAATATTATTGCATTTAAACATTAGTCCGACCAAACTGCTGAATTGAAATTGGAATTTTCTGATAATTCCTCTAAGTCATGATGGTCAGACTCTATTTAATAATTTGAAAGTGAGTTAAAAGTCTATGTTTCTTTTGAACACAGACTGGAGAGAAATGAGTGAAAAGCTGACAGCTGATGACCTTTTCAAAGTCAGGATAACTTTCCCAAACCACTTTTAAAGATTACAGGAACATCTGACTACTTGGAAGCAAAAGTGAGCCAAGAAATTTTTGCAAAGTGCTGAAACTCTCAGGACCAGCCATCGGTCAGACTACACAGCATTAAGAACATGACAGCATTAAATCCAACAGCCTCAAGATTGCGTGATTTCTTGTGGTCAGCATTCTTCTTCAAGATCAACACTTATGTCCACAGACACGACAGGCAGGTGCTCAAATCTGCAGCAAAAGTTTCCCTTTGCTAACTGTAACTCTTACTGACAACAGCAACATGGGGCAGAGAAAAACTGCTTAGAGGTCAGTTTTTGTCTTCTAGCTCTGTCAAAGCTAGAGCTTCCACCCAAAAAAAAAGATCACCTGTAGTCCTTCCTTAAACCCGCCTCAAGACAGGGCTGTCACAAAACACCAGAAACCCCACAGGGGGCCCGAGAGCAGTGTTATCCTTTGCTTTTATCACGAGTCTCCTTGACACACGACAAACATATATCAGCCTTGCTTGTGGATATTTGCGTGGGCTGGTGATGGCGTGAGGGGAGATGTGGTGGAATGCTTAACTTGATCCTGATTCAGCTAGACTTAAGCGGTCTGTATCCCTGCCGCGTATATTCAGCACGCTGGGAAACCCGATGATATTTATTCTTACAGGCTCTCTCAGAACAGGACTCCTGGAGAAGTGCCAGTGATGGCAGCGATTGTTGTTAATTGGGTCAAGCTGTCTACTAGTTTCTACATCCACCCACTCTCACAAATGCTGCAGAAAAAAAGCAGAGCAAAGGTGTGGTGCTGCTTTACACTGAGCCCCTGGGGGCAGTGTTGCACAGGCCTTTTTTCAGCTCATCAGACCAATCGACAAACTGAAGTGGGAATGCAGTTTGTTACTTTATCATAGCAAGATATTATTATATTATAGAATAAATATTATCGTGATACTACATACTAAGTATTTAGTTACAGTACTGTAATTCATTTAACTTTTATCTGTGACAATTCTTTTACGTGTATGTTTGTGGCAAAAATCAATGAGGACCATATTAAGTCTATGACTTGCGAGAGGAGCTGTTTGGTCTTTTTAGAAGGCTATAAAATCTTGGGTACATATCATTTTGAAAGAAAACCTACAAAAATAATTATTGAAACTAAAGTTTTCATTCAGTTTCAAGTTTTCTTATATCTAATGTATTGTTTATGTACCTTAATTGATATCAAACTCTATTTGTAAGAAAGGTATACTTTTGTTCTTCTAAATAATGTACTGCAATGTAGGCATATAAATAACGGCCAGAAAGGCATCAGAAAACTGAGTGATGAGACGGTATTCCACAGTGTTTGACAAGATCATCAGCAATATGAACAAGCATGCTTCAAATGCACACTTGCGAGGTGCCTGATTCAGCACCATGCTGGTGTTTGAGAGTGAAGAAAATTCACAGCCATCCAATTTAAACCTAGCCCTGTAACTTGTAACAGTGGATAGGCTGAGGAAAGCCACTCTTTTAGGCCAGTCTATTAGCTCTTTTCAAAATATAGATGCATGTAAAATCTAATAGGATAATTACTAGCAGCTTGTTAGTCATTGAGTAATGGAAACCGAGGGTAAGAGAATATATATGACGATAAATTCCCCAGATTTAAAATCTGTGTTGGTGCTATTTAAAGCAGACTGATTACATGCACACAGAACCATATCCAGAAAGGGCAGAGGATGCTTATTTTGCAATAGTGGCCAAGGAATGGAGGGACAAAGCAGGGGGGAAAAGGGTGATTAGTCTGTTAACTGAAGACGATGTGTAGTAGAGGAGCCTCTGCTAAGTGGCAGGAAAATCCTCACGTTAACCAACTGCAATGGATTTTCCCAAGCTTACAAAGAGGATCTGCTGCAGATTTTGTTAAACCGATCCAATGGATCTGCTGTCTCAGCCAACTTATCTGTCTGAGGCAACAGTAATACGTGCAAGTGGCTGCGAGGGTTAGCATTTGTGTGTGTGTGTGTATATGCCAGCTTCGGTGGGAAGAGAGGGAGGCAAAGGCAGGCGCAACCACCTCACGTTCAAAAAGAAGAGATCAAAGGATGGCCTCTTACTTCGGTCTCCTTCCTCAGGATTAAAAAGATCATCAATAATAATGGGATGGAGCAGCCCAGCGGTGAACCAGAGAGCGGAAGCTGATAGGTCTCTCTTGCCTCCGCATGTGAGTGTGTGTGCGAGAAAGTGAGTGTGTATTATTTTGGTGGTTTGCCACGGAGACAATTGGAGCAGAAGCCATAAGTGTGGACTGTTTTTTATGGAACTGCTGCTTAAACCAACCCTCAGAAACGCCATGCAATATTTACCACAACAACATCTTCACTTCTCACTCTGGGCTCACTGCCGATTTCTTGTGAACCATACAGTTTCTGTGAGAGAATGTGTGTGTGCTTGTTTGTATGAGCGTCTGTTCATGTTTCTTCTGAAATGTAGAAAAACGATGATAAACAAAACTGTAAAATCTGTGAAAATTACTCTACTGTACTATCTTTAATATCTAGCTATAAGGTTTAGCTGTAATCACTGTAACATTAAAAATGTGAATTGTTTGAAAATGCACCTGCACAAACTTCTTTATTCCTATGGTCATTGAATCTGTACTTTGAGAAGAGGCACTAGCACTTGACAACATCTGTGTACAGGGATGTTATATCTCCATTATACACGTGTGGAATAACACATCAACGTGACCTTGGGTAGGAGGCGAGGATGAAATGTATTCACACCTTTATTACTTGAAAATGTTTCACATCATTGGGTAATTCAAGATCACAGCTCCCAAGGATCACAAAATATATAAAAGAAGACGGCCCCTTCAAACATTACAGAACATTCTAGCAGTCCAACAGAATTACTCTGATGCAGGACTTTTTGGTTAAATCATCTTTGCGGGAAAAAAGTGTTCCACAACATTTTTTAAAATGTCTCTAATGGGGACTACATCAAGTACTTCAAATACCATAATCATATATTAACTATATTTTGGTATTAGCATGGTATTAGTGAAAAACAGTCAATGATGATAGTGATTATAGAATATAGCATGTGGTCATGATAATAACAATTCCATATGTTATCAGTGCCACTAATGGAGTTGAGTGGATCAATGTGGGACCCTCTTGAAACTGAAGGAGCAAGTAACACTCCATACATTCTGTTTTCTTGCCAGGAAATGTGATTATTTTTCAAATACGCAAGAGCAAAAATCCATTGCAATCTACTTCAATAGAAAATTTTAATTTTCAATTGAAGTATTTTCCATTGTCATCTAATGATTTGTCATCATCATTTAGATGGCAAATGTGATTTTATGCAAAAGTAATTTAATACAGGCTAAGAATTAAAGGTATGTTGTTTAAATTGTGTATCTTAATCCAATTCTAACATCATTGTATGCTGCTGTATACTGTGAGCTAAACAAAATTATGCCATAATACAGTAATAACATTTGTTTTATGTGTTATCCAAAGGTAAAAAGTAATAACTACTTTTTACCTGGAACTTTCATATAAGATACATCCATCCATCCATTATCAATACCGCTTATTCCCTCATGGGGTCGCGGGGGGAACTGGAGCCTATCCCAGTGGTCAACGGGCGAGAGGCAGGGTACACCCTGGACAGTCCGCCAGTCCATCGCAGGGCCACACACAGGACATACAAGGACAAACAACCACTCACACTCACATTCACTCCTAAGGGCAATTTCCCCAATCTCCAATCAGCCTAACATGCAGGTTTTTGGACTGTAGGAGGAAGCCGGAGAACCCGGAGAGAACCCACGCAGACACAGGGAGAACATGCAAACTCCACCCAGAAGGGTCCTGGTTCCCCCGGGATTCGAACCCAGAGCCCTCTTGCTGGGAGGCGACAGTGCTAACCACCACACCACCGTGCCGCCCTCATATAAGATACAAACAACTTAAAATTTGATTTAACCAGTGTGGAACAAAACATAGTTCATATAATCCCACCACTGTAGAATTGGATGGCACTACCAGGCATCATCTTTTTTTGACCACACCTCACATATCCCCACCATGTTTTTAAGGAGCGTCAATTAAGGTTTGTTCTTTTAGAGGGCCTGAGAGCAAAAACAAATGAGGAAATTATACTTCTACAAATCATGCGTACGCAAGGTGAAGAGTGAGACAAAATGTAGTCACACTGTACTATTCCCTCTCTTCCTTTTCTCTTCAGGCCCAGCATCCCCCAGGAACAGAAAAGGGGGAGGCAGCTAATTAATTACTGTGACAGACAACTCAGTACTGAAGATCCAAGAAAATGATGAATTGCGCAGTAATATAGAGCAAATATCCTACCTTGAGCACAAAGCACAACTTGCTCTCTAAATGACCCTTCTAATATTCCTTGAACCTATAAAATCTCCCTGGCCTGTTTGTTTACAGTTCAATGGCTGTTAATTCAGAGGAATAGTTTGGGTGCTGAAAAATGAAAGTCAAAGGTTATATCAAGTGGTAGGCCCATAAAATAGCACTCTCCGGACTTATCAGGCTATTGTCTCCCACTAGAAGCTATAGCACATTGTTGAATGATCACTAATCACACAAGAGCCTATATGGTAATATTTTGAATTATCTAAACTTTCTTCGAGAAACAGGACATCACAAAAGAGGACTACCTGTAGTCTATATCAGGTGTAGCAGCTGTGTAGCTTGAAAACCTGGTTTTAATCCTTTCAACACTCAGTCTGATAGATGGTCTTCATTAACTTGTGCTTCCTCTAGGGAGGGAGCTGAGAAGGTTTGTGTCTTCATTTTATCACTCTCCAATAGATCAATAACTACCACCACACAACGGAACAATCAACTGAAATGTCCACTGCTTTTAAATGCATTGTAAACCTGCACGGTCCGTTATATATGATCATTAAAGTACAGGGCTCTAGTTTTACTAACCTAAAACAAAAATGAGTGCCCAGAAAAAGGTAATCTGTGGCAAAAATGAAAAACAAAATAATATAAATGTTTGGTAAGAGTCCAACAGTCATTGAGCTACTTTCGCTATTCAGCTAATTTGTACTTTAATTAGTTGACCGCAACTTTTGTCAGCTACGTTTTGGGTAAATGCCCGATTCTAATTGGCATCATTTAATAAGAGCTGTAGCAAACGCCATTGTGCGTCAAGCAATGGTGACTCAACGTGCACAGAGTAAGGGAATGACGTTTGGATTTGCAGTGGGAAACATAGAGACACCCAGTGCTGAATGCCAGCACCACTCAGCATCAATACTGCATGCAGTGATGCTGGAAAACCAAGCTCTCCAGACCATGAGGCACACAAGAGGGCTAAAATAAGATCCAGCAGTCACTAAGCTTTACAGCTCAGATAAGCTCCCTATGTTAGGAAAAACAGTTCTGGATTCATCTTATTGTATCTGAGGAGAAAAACTGGGTCAGATGGATAATAATACAGAGGGTATGGGTGTGTGCTTGCAAAGCCCAACTTGTTCATGGTCATCAAATCATGTCATTTCTTTATGAAAGATATCAAGTGCGTGACTGGTTTTCTAGAACAAAAGAATTAGAAATGACAATCTCACTTGATGACCACAAGTCTAGCATCTTCCCTTGCAGTATCTGTAGTATTTATTTATTTTCTCTGGTAATTTAACATACAAGCTGCATAATTTAGAAAACACTGCACTGTCTCTGCATCCAATGAATGTATAATGGGCTATGGATTATGTATGTTTGTGTGCTGTCATGAGCACATGATTTTGCATGAGTTAGGCACATTTCCACTTACCTGTGCTGCTCTGGATGGTTCTGACAGTGGTGGCAGTGCGTGGAGGAGAGTTGGTTCTCCTGTTGGTCACTGCGAGGCCTCCCTCTTCCTCTTCCTGTGAGCAGCCCTTCTCTATGGCACGCACATAGCTGTGGCTCCGCATGCGGAAGCAGCCGGGCACAGGCAGATCCAGTGCATCTACCGCCTGTGACTCCATCTCACTAAACACTGATTCACATACTGCCTCAATCTGCCCATTCACCTCCACCTCACTCACCTACACAGGAGGGGAAACACACAGACATACAACATGTGCACACAAACATCCCAACCAACATGTACACAAAAAGGTGCACACATAACAGCACAGGATATTACACAAATGAGAACATTAACTATATATTACAGAGCCAGGGAGACAGGGAAACATTTCAGCATTGGAATATTCCTCACATTTGTTTTCATGCTACTCCACTGATGAAAGCATCACAATGCAGGTGTTTCATGTGCAAAAACACAACTGACTAACACGGTGGGTGCTGCAACAGAAGACAATTTTCTAGTGTCTATTATCTGAAAATGATTAACTTTGTGCATCTTAGTCATAAAAGGGAGCGATAAGATAACACCCAACAGTCCCTTAAAAATATTATGAGGGACCAGATATTGTGGACACAATCTCAATTTGAAAATTGAAAAGAATAAAGAAGCATCTAAAACATGAGTTCCTGTAATTGTGATCCCAGATCGACAGATCAATTTGGTGTTCATTGACAGACTTGGTCGAGCTGTTAAAAAGCATCCCAGAATTTCCAAGAGAAGTCCAATTTTTACTGCTTTTATCTCCACACTGTCTTGTGAAGCTTCATGGTGCAATTAACATTTACTTGAGAAATAAATACATTTGATAGAAAGAGTATTAAAGGCGTGTAGAGGCTGAGAAATCACTGTAAGATAAAACCTCTAAAAGCCAGACAACAGGGTGTTATTTGATGGCTGTTAAAGGTGAGGACAAGGAAGTGCAAAAACAAGGAATACCGGGTTTAGAGATGTGAGTGGAAGACATGGCTTATGTAGTTTTTGTTTAAAACATGGGATAACATTTTTAAGTAAGATTGAGCAATCTGGCACAGACTTGTGAGAGGGGTGTGCGTAATGGTGCATGTGAGGGTATGCATCACGAAGCCCTAGTTCAATCCTTCAGGAGGTAGCATGGACCAAAACAGAGGGTGAGGGTGTTTGTCAGTAAGGAGAATGTGCTTTCAGACACGTGTGAGTATACACTGTAGAGCTTGGAATCAGAAAGGTTTATGGACCTCCATTCAATCCTCTGAAGTTAATCTTCTTCTTTCTGTGTTACTTCCCACTCTATGCAGACACATGTTGAAATGTGAGAGTGAGATAGAGAATGAAGCAGCACCTCTTTCATTCTTTTCATCGATGCCAGGTCCACAATGACATTCTCCCTTGGGCCTGCTTTGTGCCAGAACTGGAAGGGATCTCTCAAGGGTCCATCATTCAGATGGAGAAGCAAAGAGTTGCCTCTGGGCTTTGGATGGGAGTGCATATCCCCATTACCCCAGGCAAAAAGGTATGTTAAGCTCCCCTGTCACTTTAACTATGAACACAGGGCTCAAAATCTAAAATTAATATCTCATTTTGCAACAGCCAATACATTAAAAAGCATGCATCGCAAAACAAGTGGCAAAATCAAAACAATCATCAGTCATTTTGGTTCAGAAAATAGACTGATGCAAAAAGGGAGTTTGTCAAGGTAAAGGAAGGAATGGCGGGGAATTTGCAGGCTTTCCTCTTTAATTAACCAGTCACTGAAAACTGTTTGCATCATCTGTGCTCCACAAACCGGTGCACAGCTGCATACACTAATTAGGAAACAGGGTCTTTTCTTGAAGTTGCAGGTTAATGACTTGATTATTAACATTAGAATTGCTTTGATTAGGATTTTCTCCCACTACACGCGTTCACTGGACATAATTTTTGAGGATCAGACGCATTGAGAGGCCAACGCCAGTGACATACAGGCCCCCAGAGTGCCACTAACCTGGCTGATGGTGCTCATAGCTCTCATGTAGCTTTCGTTTCGGGAGCGAAATTTAGGAGAGGCCAGCAGCCCTGCCGGGTCCAAGCTGTCCAGACTCCTATTGATGGAAACCTCACTCACCGCCCGCAGATAGCTGTGACTCCGGATGTGCAGCTTGGGTGAGTGCTCCGTGGAAATCCTACCCCAGGAGAGGGGAAAAAATAAAAAAACAATGCATAGCAGGAAGACAGAAAAGCATGTTATAGGCAGGAGAAGCTCCAAGGGAAAGCAAGAACTCAGAGATACAAAGATATACATAGATTAAATGCAGAATGGCTTCAGGACACACCCTTATCTAATCAAAAAGCACAGAATTGCAGAAAAACACTCGCAGTAAGCTTAGATAGTCTGTCCTTGATAGTTCGTCCTTGAAGAGCTTTCAAAACCACCTACAGCAAGAACACTTGAATACGCATATCAGTAAATGGACGTGAGTGAAGGTGTGCCTGTAAGGTCCTGTTAATTTACACACTTTCTCACCAAAACGGATAACAAACACACAAAAGACCTTTAGATTGACTCGACAAGCACACATCCTGTCTCCTAGGAAGATGAAAAGGTGTCTCATTATCTCTCACCTACCTCCAGTCTGATCGCTCAGCATGCCTCTCACCTATGTGCACCTGTGAGTTTGTATACATGTGAAGAACGGTGTGCAAGTTGCAGTTACACAGCAATTGGGTTTGAGCCAAACAACTAATAAATCAGAGAAAACTATCAGTGGTTCCAGTCGGCTTGTGCATACTTTGATGCTTAGGCCTAAAAAACTAACTTACTTTCATTTTCATGAACATCAGGATTCAAAAAGCCAACTTGTCAAAAACAAACGGCACAAATGAAAATGAATACAACACAAATAACATAGATTGCGTTCTAAAATAAAACAATATACAAACTACGTAACAGTTGTGCTAACATCTTTATGCAGAGATCTATAAGAACATTCTCTCATGAACATACAGTGCAGCCCCTGATCTCTGCCTTCACCCCAGATCTGTTTTAATTATACATTTCTACCTTAAAATAGAGCATGATTACCGCAGCAAAGCAAACTAGATTAGTCATTCTTGGATAGAACTCGGGAAGATAGAGGTGAAGGGGAGGGACAGATGAACTATTGAGATAAGAATAAAGATGCTGATTGGACACTTAACGAACAAATATGCAAATGTCAGCCGTCTTTCTGTTTTTTTAATACAGGGAAAAATCTGTAGCACATAAGATATCAAAACATAGTCTTGCCTATGATTTTATTCTTTCTTTTTTATTCTGAGGTTTCTACCATTGTAATCCAATTGTGCCACTGCTCTCCTTTGAATACCCAGAAGAACTATAAAGAGTTAATGAGGTACCTGACAATTCAAGAGTGAGGAGGCTGAAACAGTCATGGCAGTAATTCAGCTGACAGAGCTGAATGGGCTCTTAGTGAGAAATGTTGTATTGTGTGTTTTGTGCATCTATCTTATTTTCTTCTTTAGTTGAGTTTTCAAAATGTCTGTAGTATTTGTAACTCATAGTTGGTATAATTTTGTGTAATGTTGCTGACAAACAGAAGACAGAAAAATAAATGCCTCTGTTTTCTGAGGTTTACTTTGAATCAAGAATGAAGACTGGATTAAGTTTTATGCTAGCATCAAGTGGCTTGACAGTAATTTAGTTTTGGGCACTTTTGTAATTACCTACACGCAGCCCACTGTTTGGAGATATCGTTTGACTTTTCACCAAAGTAAGATGTGTCATGATGTACACTCTTAACCTTAGAGATGAATGTGAATCACAAATGTCAGCAACTTGGATTCTATGAGTGTGGGGGATGCACAGAGGGATTGAATCAAGGAGGAATCTACCCACATCATTATTCCTATCCACATCTTTTTGCTTGATTTCCCTTGTGGGCTGATTATGCAATCAGTGAAGTCTACAGAGGCATCTTAAATGGGAGACCCAGCTCTGAATCAGTACCACCTGAGGAGGTGTCCTGAGGTTTCTCTCTATGCCGTGAGGGACATTGATAAACATTTTTTTCTGTCAGTCAGAAATAAAGGCTGTCCAGAGCTATATGCTGATTTGACAAAATTTCCAATAGTTCTTCTTATTGTATCTTCTTATCTTCTTCCCCATTGTCTTCATAACATCTCATTGTTTGCTTCACCTCATCTTGTCTGCCACCCTGCCGGCCTGTCGTCTTTTTCTCTTTCTCTTTCATCCTTTTGCTTTCATCTCCTGTCACAATTTGAAATAATCATAACTTTTATAAAAAATCTGCTCTGTGGCTGGCTGTGGGCTCAAGGATGGAAGAAGACAGACTGGGTTCTGAAACATCTGCCTCAGTGAGACAAAGTAAATTTGATCAAATCCTGGACATTTGTAGCAGAAATGAAAACTTGTTTTCTTGAGTTCAGTTGAGTGCAATGATTTGCCCAAATAATGAGAAATCATAGAGTGGGAGTATCTTAGGAGTTATTTGACGGTAGACAAGGACAGAATGGTCACAGATTGGGTTCAGAAACATATGGAGCAACAAAGCTGATTATTCAATCACTGCTGAATAGAAGAGACTTGAGCCAGTTCCCAAAAGCACAATGTGAAAACAAGATATTAGTGGCTCCCGCCTCGTTGTCTATCTCCAATATGCAGCACTGCAGTTTGGTTTCTTTCACAAGGTTCCAACAAATGATGATGGCATTCCCGTGCCACACTCAAGTCATTAGTGAGTCCCAAGCTGCGCCACTTGTACTTATGTAACAGTGTGTATAAGTGCATTTGTGTTTATGCAGCCAGTAAAAATCACTTAGTTTACACTGGTGTTTTTATCATCTCTGGATATTGCAAAGCTAATCATGGACAACTGCATGCTTTAACCTAATACTCATGCCATTAGTTATTAAAAGTTTCTATTTAAAATATCTGCTCTTGTCTAGTTCTTCTGTATAAGATAAGGGGGATCTAATGACAAAAAGCAGTGTACTCATTACGCCATTTGTGTTCTGTCTTTTCTACACTTGCACATATCTACAGGCTTTGTGTGACACGAGTAATCATACTAGCACATTGAAAGCACATTTGACCAACAATATAACTGAGGGAGCTTTCGTCACATCATCACTTACTGGCTATAAAGTGGTCAATGAGTGCTGCTGACTGCAAATGAAATGGCATAATAGTTTATCATTAAACATTTGAATATTTTGTTCCTGAAGTTATGACAATCTGTTTTTGCACCAGGAAAAATGGAGAAGGATTTACACAATAAGGGTAGCAAAAAATGATCATATGTAAATCACACCGACTGAAAACAAACCAACTGATAACACTTCCACCATTTAGGGGGGGGGAAATTAAGAGTGAGGTTTGTAATTGTGGCAATTTCAATACAGAATGAATTGTCTGTTTGAAGAATAAAAACTAATGGCATTTTGTAAAGTTTAGCCTGAATGGTTTCCTTATACAATATTTCCACTCTGTAACATAAATTAGTGAAAACCAATGTCCTAACAAACTTGACTTCGGTCATTGAGAAGACCCTTTAAATGGCAATTTAAGTATAAACACATCTGAGTAAATTTGATATGCTTGTTTTAGATTGTGAGTATATATGCTCGGACTGAAACATTGAAATAGCTTCAGTTTTGGTCTTTCAGAAATGTGTAAACCTTTCTTCACAGAAACTTAAAAAATAACTGACAATTCTGATCTCATTCTAACCCACACTCACTTGAGAGTGGTCATCTCTGTGAGAGATGGCTGTGTGGCCTTCAGGTAGCTGGCTCGTCTTGCTTGGACCTTGGGCGAGGGTTTTGGGCTGCAATCTGAGTCGCCACTATCTTCCTCTGCCATGGCCTTGATGTAGCTGCCACTACGCATTCGCCGGCAGGGAATCTCGTCATCCTTCCCGAGTGGAGAAAACGCACTCCAGTCATCCTGAGGTACCTGGAAAAATGAGGTATCTTTAGTTTGTAACGCGCATTACGCGCCACACACAAAAACTACAGAGAGATTGATAAACAGAATTACTACATTTTCTTAATATTTTTAAAATCTTTGTCTCCAGCTGATTTGAAAAGATTGAGCTGTAACTTCACAGTATCAATGTGAAGTCTGGCTCGATCATACCATAAGCTTCACAGTGCCGGTGGCCTTCTTTTTTCTTTCCAGTGATGCAAGCTGCATATCAAATGCAGGGCATTAATTGTTTTGACAAAATGTTGCAGCAATCTGGCCTCTGTCTGCTCTCCTGACTTTTCACACACGCACTAAAGAAGGTTCAAATAAAAGGAGGCAAGGCTATTTCCTAGCACTAATGTAAAAGAGAGAGAGTCAAAGACAGCAGACATGGAGAGAGGGGGACCGAACAAAGGGGGTTTTGTTCAGCAGAACCACTGCAGTCCCAGTGTGAGTGGCTGTTGGGACACCAGGTCTGAAGTGCAAGAAATGAGATACAGAGCAAGAATAATTCAATGCACTGCTGCATAGCTGGGAAACCAAGCTGACCTTAATGTCAGGGGAAACTATAGACTGTCTTTGCACCCAGGCTTTAAAAAAAAAAAAAAAAAATCAGCCTTGCAGTAGAGTGTGGCATGTAAAAAATATTGTAACTTCTAGCTGTTGCATCAACACTATACGATCCCTTCAGAGTAGGTGATCCAAACAGCATGTCTTTCTATTACAAAAAACCCTGAAGGCTGACATGTCAGTTTCTCGCTGAGAGCAAGTCTCACTTTCTTGATAAAATAGAGAAATGACAAAAAGTACTTTTAGTCTGGAAGAATTGTAGTGACAATATCCCTGCTTGATTTTCTGGCTTGGCTTCCAGGATGTTAAAATGCATGGCTATACAGAACTTTCTGCCATTTTCTTCTCACACTCTGCTTACTTCATTTACTCTCCTATGGCCTCATAGTGTGCACATGCTCACACACAAATATTTTGTTGCACTGTTCATGCCGATTTTTCTCTTCTCAGGCTGATAACTGCAGTTCATTTCATTGTGATGAAAAAAAAAAATCAATAAATAAATGCAATCTGAGGGACTTTAATCTTTTCAATGACAGAAAAAGTCATTCTTGCTCAGTTAGGTTGGTATATTTGCCTGTAAGTGTCCTGTTGTTGAGGTAGTGTCTATTAGCACTGAGGTCAGGGACTCAAGCACTTTCATTTGTTGTGTGCTGAACTCACTCTGATCTGAGTTCCATCCGTGACCACCACAACAAGATCTGAACAGCTGGGTAAGTGCAGTTTAATGTGAAAATTTGTCATGAACAACAAATTAGGTTTGCACTTTCTAATCTTTGCTGTATTGCATACTCTAGAAATAAAACTGAGTAGTTCTACTTAAACCTCATGGATTACACAGGAAAAGATTACAGCATTATTCTTCTTTTAAAGTAAATGCTAAGTACTCTATGGTATGACCTTAGACATATTGCACAGTCAACGCACAATAGCATAAACACATACACACCTTATATGAATACGTTGCAACACAAAGACAGATGAGCAGATGCCATGTGAAGTTTAATCAAAAATGTTTATGACATATAAAAGATGAAAACATGATAAGACCAATGACCGAGGGAATGAAAGCATGACATCTGAGCGAATGGCTTCCTGATAAACCTCTTTAACACACACACGAACACACACACACAAATATATATGCATGCAAATAGAGCACAGAGGAGCAGCTGGCATCAGATGTTATATGAAGCATGGCACACAGAAGGTGGGGTTCTTGAAACAATCCTACCTGTAGGAAATGGCAAGTGCGGCCCTGCTCGGCTTTCACAAGAGCTTTATCTAAGTTGACTGAAGCCTTCTGGTAGACCTCTCTAGCTCTGCTCACTGTCAGAGTTGAGGACCATGAGCTCTTCTTTAGTTGAACTTGTCCATCAAGAGCACCCATGAGTGGCAGAGTTCCACTGCTGCCACCGGAGCAAGTAGAACACTTCACATCGTTATTACTGCGTGATGTTTTCAGGGACTGGGCACTGATTGTGTTGTAGGACTCCATAAAGTACTGCGACTGGGATTTGTCTGGGTGACGCCCCATAGTCATGATACCAGAGGGCATTGCACCACTGTTGCCCCCTTGGTGGTGATGGTAGAGGCACACCTCCCGGTCAAGTGTGTCGTCTGAACTCCAGTACCCGGATATGGCAGAGCGCATCTTAGGCTCAGACTTCGAGCGGTCTTTGCTTTTGCTGCGCTTGCTGTGCTTTAAGGTGCCAGAGCATGAGGGAGGCTCATCAGGACTTGATTTGTTGCCATTCAGCCTCCCATTCCCTCCTCCACCCGACCCTGATGGCCCCTCCAGAGAATGGGACTTGGTGAAAAGCTTTTGGACAGAGTGAACAAGATGGCGGATTCTACCTGGGCTGTCACTGCGTTGGTGCTCTACTGCAGTACGTTTATACTGCAATGTGTGGTAGCCTTCACGGCGAAGCGGCGCTTGGTTTTCAAACTGCTCCAGCAAGTTGGAGGGGATGCGGTTGTTGTTGCCTCCACTACCTTTGCTGCTCCCTGCTGGGCCTTTATAGGGTACCAAAGCCCCACATTCCTCTTTTAGCTCATGATGAGAGCTGTAATGTCTGCGAGGAAAGGTGCAGCTGGCCAGGTCAGGATAAGTGCTGCACTCAGTCTGGAAGGTGTTCGGCTGGGTGTAGCAAGGATGGTCAGCTGAATGAACCTCTCCAGGGTTGAGGAAGAAGGACCGATGATCCGAGTGTCCCAGGGTCATAGAGTCATAAGAGGGGTCACAGGTCACTGTGTGGTGACTGCGGCTGCTGGACAGGCCTTTCATTGTCATCGTGGCCAGGTCAACATACACATCCAACTGCTGCCGCAAGGAGTCCGCACAGCCCCCAAATCTTGCTCTTCAAACAAAACACACAACCATAAAGCAACAGACACATAGAAAAAAAGACAGAGAAAACATTTTTAAATTTCACACCTTGCACACACATGTTTTAATGCTTCAATTTGCTTTATTTTGAAGGAGATGCTTTTTAGCACATCTCAATAAAACTTGATGCTGACTTGATGCTTCCTCTTTATTCTTATCTTTGTCCTTCAAAACATCAGAAGAAAATATCTAAAAATATAGAAACCACATGGTATATTACCTCTGACACCTAAATCTGCTCTCAAGCTACTCAGTATGTTTCTTTGTTATGGTTTGGAAGAGCTCAATGGAAAAGTGACAGGTGATGGGGGACAGAGAGAAACAAAGCAAGAAAGAGTATCAAGAACAATGCTAATCTATTTTCAGCTCAAGTGTCAGCTATATTTGTCCAAGGGGACTGCAATACAAAACAACACAGTAACCAAGCAGAAATTTAAAAGAAAATGGGGATGGGATGACGAGTTGTAAGCTCTTTTTCCCCCAAATATAAGCTCATAACAGCTAAATCTCTCCAACTTTCATGTGAGGGCTTTTTAGAGCCATTTGCCAGTGGATGAACCCATTCAGTGATGAGAGTTTCCTTTTGCAGTATAGCTATTCAGTCAGACATCTGACCAGTAAAGCCCAGAACACAGGATCTGGGCTTGGAGAGGCAACTGCGAGAAACAACTTTCCCATCATATGGTGGCATGAAAACTGTAATTGTAACTATCAGCGCTCTTAAACCTCTTTCCTTACCGATCTAAGGCTGTGGCTGGTTGGTTGCTGAACCCACAGTTACAAATGGGCTAGAGGTAACGTTAAGAAGATAATAAAGGAACCCTTACACCCCTGTGTCGTCCTGTGACAGCAGTGTAGCTAAGCCTTAACGGACAATTCATCACTGCGATTTATAATGCAGTACCAACACTACTGTGGTAGTTGGAAAAAAAAAAAAAAAGTGAAAATACTGGCTGAAGAAAACAATATAACAGAAAATGATGATTTAAGTGGTCAAATCTTAACACAAGTAGAGGACATGGTGTATAGGTCAAATACCTATTTATGTGCATGAATATAAAGGGGGCTGCATTTATCTTTTTCTTGAACTGTACACCAGATGCAGGATTAATTGAAAAACCTTTCAATTATTCATGCATATTCATTGTATGCTCCAAAGCGGAGGATTAAATGACTCAGGGGAGAGAATTAAACTAATATATTAGGCCACTTTTTGTTGTAAAGGCGAAAATGGAAATATCACGGCCAGACCCCACCCCATCCAACAACACCCACAAGAGCAAACTCACAAAGAAAGCACAACATAATCACAAGAACATGCACAGTATCCGTTATTGCTGAGCTCTTAAAAAGTGGGCTGAGTCCAACTAAAGGTATTCATTGCAGTTGACAGATATCCTTTCTGTTGGCTGCTGAAGCACAGAAAGTGACCTAAATAAAAAAGGCCCTTGCGGTGATCTGCAGCAGTGTTTTTGTGGCACAGCTGTCTGCAGTGCTGCACTAAAGCAGAAAAACTGAAGTTGGGTCATGTGAGCTGGGTCCGCCTGAAGCAACTCATACACATAAACACACAAAAATATAAATACAGTGTGTACCCGATAGGCTGCATGTGTGTGCTGAATCTTGATGCTGTAAGCTTTCAAAGGGCAATTTTTCAACAAGTACACCAGCTGGTTGAATTGCCTCTTTCAGGTGTGGTCTACAGTGAAGTATGCTTAGACACAGCTTTGGTTATGTTTGTCCATTGTAGTGGGCTGTCCCATTTGCCTGCACACAGGTCAAGTTACCCTGCCTTAATGAACATCGACTGGTAGGCAGTCCTCTCTGAAGTTGCAGTAAATTATTTCCATCAAACTATTGAGCTAACTTTTTTGGAATTGATCTTTCCATGCAGGGAGTTAATGAGCCATTTTGCATGTCCTCACATTCCTTTCCTGCAAGGCACCGAATTACGTTTATAATTAACTTTATTTCCAAGCTTTGAAAAGAGTTCTTAGTTCCATTAGCTGTAGCTTGCTGGCTAATTAAACACAAGTTTGCTTCATGATATAATTGAAGCGTCATCTTCTGAATTCGTAATGTTTCAGTCTCTTTTAATACAAAACCCAGTCAATATGTTCTTGATAACTACAGATGTTCATTTGCAAACTACTGCACAGTAAGCGAGTATGAAAAAAAATGAACTGCAACAACTTGTGCTTTTGAATGTGATCATATTCTAAAACCAACAATAATCTAATCACAATGCAGTTCAAATCTCAGAAGAAGTGGCTTGTCTTAAAAAATGAGTGTGTTCCCAGCAAATACTTACAGTATATACAGTATTTACTTACAGTAACTTTAGAACTTTCTAGAACTGCAGATGTGGCAAACAAAATGAAAAACTATTTACACCAGCTATTTTGTGTTTTTATAAGAAAAATGAAACTGCTATTTTTGTACTCTAGGTTTAATGAAGGTTGTATGTTTTCCAGTGTCCAGACATGTTGAAATAAACACTGTGAATGGAATATACCAAGCTTTTACTCTGCTATGGAGCACATGTACCTATACCCCACCTGCCATTCCCTACATTCCTGAATAGTGCTTCTACAGCATTATGACTGTCTGTATGACTGCTCTCCAGAGTAGCATTTCAAAATTACATTTGAAAAGTCGGCCATGAATGCCTTTCCCACAGAGACTGTTTCAACATTTCTTGAAAAACAGATCTTAGGTGATTGAGTTTAAAATGGGTACACCTTCCAAGTAAACATGAAATCCCTTTGGTGTTAAAACAAAAAAGTATCTAGATGGGATACTGTCATTTCCTCTTTTTTTCAGTAATTTGGGAGAATTTACCTTTATATATTGAGCATATGAGGATAAATTAGGAGCAATGGCTGGAATAAACAAGATAAGTAACTTTTCAGAGAGGAAAAGTCAGTGTGACAGATAATGCCCACAGTACATAGTGAGAAATAACAAACCTAATAGATCCCTCGCTTGCTGCAGACAAAAAATACTAAACATATGTTCAGATAGTCAGAACTACTTAGAGAAGCATTCACGGTATTTTCAGTAAGACTTTCTTGCTTTTAGAAACCTATCTCAAACACACAGATTGACAAGAGTGGAAAACTGAGGTGAAGAAAAATCCCAGGACGATGATGTTCTACAACATTTCAAACACAGTCAGACAAACAGCTGCTCACTGCTTTGTTTCTAAATTACATAGTGGTAGTTTTAAGGGATGTCAAGAGTGTATGGGAAAGTTTAACTTAACATCTTGCTTTTAAGATGGCCGTTAAGTGATCGGGGATTTACTTCTGGCCCAATGACAGCTAGAATATGCTCCCAAAACTCTGGATGGATGGGTGACCTTTGCACATATGGAGCCAAGTACAAAGACATGCAATGTAAGATGAACATTTGTCTTGGTCATAGTGCAGAAGTACTATGCCCACTCTTCCCTCCCATGAGCAATGCTTTTATCTGAGCGTAGTTTCAAGAACAAATTTTATTTTCATACAACTGATGTTTTTTTTTCCGTTTCTACTAGGGGTATTATGCACCGACTGATTTCAGTTTGAAACTTTTTACACAATGCTTTAGCACTTCATATAACAGCTCTGTATAAGGAGAAGCATTAATAGGAAATCATCTTTTTTAAACCGAGGAATGAATGTGAACTCGTAAATATTTAGGGTTACCTCAGAATTTCAAATGGTTAACTAACCTTTGAACTACATCTTGTGCATTGTAAATTTGAACAATCCTGAAGGATGAGACAGATGTAGAACATTATTTTATGAAGAATTAATCAACATTTTGACTGCAACTTCCACATATGTTTAAAAAAAAAAAAAAAGTTTGGTGTCTGATGAATGAACCTGACAAATTCAGATTTACAGGAGTCTTTCTTTTGTTTGTCTTTATTTATATTGTTTGACACCAAATCCTTGTGTAAATTGAAATAATGAAGACACTCTTCTTCAGTGATAAATTAATCTTCCTGGTTTATACTGCACAGCTCCTTGTCATAAATGAGCTAATTAAACTGACTGCCAGGGCTTTTTCTAAAAAGTGACTGATGGTGTTAAGTTATGAATCAGGACCTGCCAAACACCTTCCAAAGACAAATTTTCTCTACTGATCAGGTGTATTTGAGCACAGCAAATAAATGAACGGAGTCTGTTGTCAAAGAGGTACCTGCTACTTGTTTTAAGAGCCAAAACAGTGGCACATGAGGAAAATTGCATGGAAGAGTAAAACACATTTTATGTTAGAGTTCTTGGCTTTGAGAGTACATTATGTTATATACTTATAAGCTAAACCATTTCAGATATAATTAATTAAATTCATTTTTATCAAAATAATTTACTTACTATCTTTCTAATATAGAAATTTTGCTGATGAAAAAAATTCAAAGGGTTTGTGCAATGAAAAATTCATAAAATATTCAAATAAAATATAAAAATTGTTCAAGATTCTGAATTGAAAAACATTATCGTTCATAAATATGAATATATTCATTCAGGACTCCCTTGATCTTTAAAGAAAATATATTAAACTGAATGGCTCTGACATGTGGCTTTCAGTCCATAACAAAAGGCCATGACTCCACTGAGATTGCTTTTTGTATCGCTTAAGCTCGAATCCATCATGGATACAGTGGAAATCACAAAGAAAGATGGCAGCTCAGATTGCTTCCATTCGCTTTATTCTAAAGGTTAAATTCACAGTTCGATATGAAAAAGTTATTTCTAAAAGGCATTCACATGATACCTTAGAGAAACGACCTATTAATTACTGTTTTATGACAAATTCAGTTGACCGGTCAGAGTAAAAATTGCATACAAATTTCCAATCATCCTCCTTGGATTGAACATTCTCAGTTGTAAGCACTAAAGGAGGCACACTACGAGAATTCATTCGTCCTGTCTGTCTAAATGAGGACTTATTGAATTTTTTTGTAATAAGCAGAATGATAAAA